CAGCMAAAACTAAACCATTTCCAGAACAGTCTCTTAGGATCAAGGGGTTTCTACACTTTCAACAGAACCCAAACACTGTCTGATTGTAGCACATATAAGCCRAGCAAATCTGTAGTTAAAATTAAAAGGTGAATCAGATGTAGAAGCAGAAGTAGTAGCAATAAAAGAACAAACAGTCCAAAAAAAAAGTCCACGGAGGCCTCTAAAGGCTGAATTACTTGCTGAGTGCACCCCTCCCTGGAAATAATGTAATTTTCTCAGTGCTTTACTGCATGTAATATTATCGAGTACAACAAATCTGCAAAATTTCTTTTGATTCCATGTATTATATTGTCATCTGATCTTCTTATCTTATAAAACAGGYGGTGGAMGGGGGCTATAGCTCCCCCAATATATTGCTCAGAAAACAGATTTTGAAATACATTAACGTTTTTTGATGAAATCTGCTAATTTTTCAAATGCTATCCGACCTCATAATGTGCTCCGTAGTCCCTGATTACTGATACTTTATGTTTAATTTATCAAGCGCCACATAAATTCTTAAGGGCTTTAAGCAAGGGCGCTAGAACTGGTGAAATTATGATCTATTGAGGTCGAGAAGTTGCTTAATTAATACTACTTATGATAGTCGATAATGAATAAAGTTTTACCCATCTGAAATGTATTCTGAATATGTCATGTATTTGAAAAAAAGTTGTTTACAAATTTCGTTACATTTTAACTGTTACAAATTTGTAACAGTTAAAATGTAACGAAATTTGTAAACAACTTTAGAACCCACGAAGGTGAGGAGTTTATTGCCAAAGATATGTTTAATACTAAAATCGATACTAAAAGAAATTTTTAAAAATTTCTTTTAGTATCGATTTTAGTATTAAACATATCTTTGGCAATAAACTCCTCACCTTCGTGGGTTCTACTTTCATCGTCATTATTATTATCATCATAGATTGCAAGCAACAGAAATTTCAACCTTACAATTTTCGGAATCACTATCATTTTTTTAGA